TTCTTTGGAAATTTGTATCTATTTCTGTTTATCAATCAGGTGGCAAGATATCTTTGTTAATCGCTTTTAACGATTTAAAAACGTACATCAACTTGATACCAATATTTTACGGATGCTTTTATTAGTAATCTATAATAATGTGAAAAAAATTTAAGAAAATCAATTTAACTACGCATACAATAATTTGAATGGTAAAGCATTTCAACGTGATCGGTATGCTATAATCACTTTCAAACAATGTAATGAAAAGCATTTGCATCCTTTTCCCTATTTGTATAACCATCTATTTTGATGGGCAATCTAAATCAAAGTCGAACAATCTTAGAACCGAACCTCTATAGCTTAAATCACCTCTATCGATGGGCCCTGCGATGCCGTGAATTTGGAATGAGACCTACCCAAAAAAGCCGATTGCCTTGCATACTAAGTTTTGCGATGGGATCATCATCTTGGTTTCTTGGCAGACAATTTCCTAAGTTTTATTATCACTTTTTCGCATAAATAAAAAAATTTAAATGCAATTTTCAAACACATTTTAATGGCGTCATTTGCGCGTAAAATGTTGTTTTAGTTTTTGTATGTCTTTTGTTCAGTAAGATTGGGATGATGACACAATGGGCATATAAATATATATATATAGTCCACCCACACTGCCTCCTGCATATTGCAAAACTTAGAAGGCGAATTGCGACAGTTTAGAAATTTTCCCATCCCAAAAATGCTGTTAATGGGTGGTTGGGTGATGTATTTTTTATATTTTTTTTTTTATTTTCTTGCTGCTTTTTTCTATTTTCAACATTTACGCAATGCAATATTCAAACAATAATTGTTCATATGCCGGGGACAGACTCTATATATACATATATAGTATATTTGTGCCCCCACAGACGCGCCATGCAAATATTAAATTACAAAAGTTGGTTGGGGCTACGAAGTGAGAAATGAAAAGTCAGGCTGAGAAATTGGTTTACCCTACACTTTGGAGTTATTTTTCAATGTTTAGTCTATGCGGCAAATAGTTGAATGGATCACTGTTCACCTCAATTTTTACCTATAAGTTTGACGAGCAAATATTTCAAATGAATGCCAAAGAACACGAGTATCAGGTGTTAGAAGCAAAAGGGGTCGAAGGGGTTTCGATTTTCACGTATTTATCAGTAGATTGAATTCTTTGCTATGCATTATTGCCAAATATGTGGGGGTAACAAAATCTATTTCTCTTATCACAAAATGTTCGATTGTTCATAATGAGAACCTCTAAAAAAAATTGTTTTTAAATATTTAAGATATGTCTATAGATAGGTAAATCGATATATAAGATAGTTTTAAGGTGTCAGTTAAAACAAAGAGGAAACTCCATTTTTAAAGGACAATTGCGAATTGCGTTACAGGGTATTGCAAGACTTGCCTACTCCCAACTCCCAACTTTCCTGCCCCGCCTCGAGTTAGAAACTTTCGTCTCTGGTATCTTGTCGCCATCTATTTATAAATGCTTGCCTCATAGCCAACATCTCCCCAATTGATTCCCCGATTCCCCTAGTTTTAGCTTTTTTCCTTACAAAAATGCATACGTCAGCCAGGGAAAATAGATTCCGGAACCGCAGAACCGAACCGCCGAGTCTGGGAATCTGAGTATCTGAGAATCTGAGAATCCCGACCAGGTCAGATTCGGATGCCCTAATGACTAATGGTAATGGAAGCAGCCTTCTCCTCTGGCAAGACAATTTGACAAAGTTAACACTCGGCGATATCGCCAATCAGCATTATACATAGATATATGTATGTATATGAAATAGTACTAAAAAACTAGAAATAGGAAGTTAAAAAACGAGTCACCAGACACTTGACTCGCACTTCGCACATCTCGTATGTACATATAAACAGTTTTAAGTGTGCCAGTTGTCCCTGCGCCGCTGCCCCGCCCCCTATCGAGTCCCCGCCCCTTGGTCAATGGCTGAACTTGAGCTCAAGTGGGTGGAAAAGCGGGGGGTGTGCGTTAGGCAGCCTCAGTGTGATATTTAAACAAATGCTCGCATGACGCTTCCACTGAAAATTGCATGTGATCGGTATGCGAATGTACACAGGTACACAGGGAGAAAAGGTTGAGAGGGGGATCTATGTAATATACTAGACTTTTGAGGCAACGCATCTTGAAAATATTTCCCAAATTTGGATTATTCAGATGTCTTTGTGTTGATCTTTCCGTTTTTGTAGTAGGTAATATTGATTTGATATGATATGATATGACATGATATGATATGATATGATATGATATGATATGATATGATATGATATGATATGATATGATATGATATGATATGATATGATATGATATGATATGATATGATATGATATGATATGATATGATATGATATGATATGATATGACATAATATTACAATAATGCAAAACATCTTATTAATGTGATATTATCTATGTGTATAATAAGTTTAAGATCCCTCCTTTAAGGCCATTTTCTCAGTGATCCAATAAAGCCAGAATGGCTGATATATAGGCAGCCGGTCACATGTGTGATCGAGGGTCCAACATCTTGTGTCCATATGTTGCACAAACAAACAATCGAGGCAGAAACCGTGAAGACACGAAAACAGCAAGAAAACACAAAACAAGGAGAACGAACCGAAGGGAATGTGCCAACGGACGCATCTTTACACAGAAACCCAAAGAAAAACAAAGAAACAAAAAAAAAACATAATCCCAAAAGCTGAAAAAGAAACCAAAAACGATACGGCCAAGTCGAAAAAGATGCGAAATGAATATTTTTCTCATCCGTTTGGTTGCCGCCTGCCGTTTTTGTCGGGGCTTGGGTGCTTTAATTTTCCTTCTTGTTTGCTCTGCAGTTGTTGTTGATGATGCAAATATTTTGACAGTTTGTTTGACAGATATCGGGGAACACATATCTGAATGCAACTCGGGGGCATGATGAGCGATATAAGCCAAAAGATGATTTGGGGGGAAAGGGCATAACCTTGTTAAGCCGGGGAAGGGCCATCGAAAGGGTATCCCTCTGTATATGCAAGTATCTCCATCTGTCGCTGTAAACAACTCAATTCGGTTGCCAGGCGAAGATCAGTTCAAACAGCAGAAAAACCATATGGAAAAAGTTTCACATTTCAGCTCTTAAATAATGTAATTTCGTAGATAATTGCATGGTTGCACATTTTTCATTACTTATTTCAAAGTTTCATTGTATTTTGTTTTAAAATTGATCTTTCTACATATACCCTAAGGTATAAATTAAAATTTTAAAGTGCAAATTAAGCAACACTTATTTCATTAAAAAATGATTACAAATAAGTTGCTTAAATGTTGCGAATTTTATTATGATACTTAAATATTTTTAACTTTTTAAACATTTTAAGTTGAGAGAAACTATAATGACATAATATATGGAATGCCAACGACGCTAAAATAGTGAGAATATTATTGATAAAAAGTATTTTTAGTCTTTCAGGAAGTACCAATAGCTCAACCAAGCACAGCTATCAATCTTGAACGGATAAAACCCAAGATAACCGATATCTGGCACCTTAAGTTGCCGGGCCACCTGATCGTATGCGCGATTTCCGATGACCGGCAATACGCATACGCCGGATGGGCAAAAGCGGAGTTTGGAGGATGGAGTTATCGAGTTGCAGGGCAGCAGTGACCTCGTTTACAGTCCGTTTCGCAGTGGTTCCTTCTTGGAACTGTGGGTCCCCCACGATAAGCCCCGAACCGGCGACATATATGTGTACAATGAAAATACATATGTTCGAATTTGGCCTCATTTACGCAACTTCCGATGTGATAAAAAAGCGTGAGCGCTGCAGCAAAACAAATCGAATCAAAACAACAGTCGACAAAATGAAGTAGAGCACCAAAACTGTCCAGCAGGTACTTGAACCCATAGAAAATCGGACCTTCTTATACATATACATTCGGTGATTTGAAATGTTAATTTAGGAAATTATTTCATTGCAAGACAACGTCTGTGGGCAACATGTCATTAACACGCGCTGATAACGCCCTATCATCGCCGCTCATTATGGTGGAAAGGCACACAAACATACACCGACCAGAACCCTGCATATAGATAGAATTTAGAACTGGAACAATCGACTTCTCATAATAATTGGCAAAGAGGACCGAACACAATCGCATCATTCAAAAGCCGCAGCTGAAGTCGTTTCGAATTTGGAAAAAAAAGAAATGAATTCAGCGTCTGTCTTTTCGAGACAGTGATAACCCCCGACGATGACCTGGGCTCAATGCCCAAGATGAATTTATTTTTTTGGCCTCTGGTCAACTCGAAATCCGGTCCTTCACAGAGCGTTCGAATTTCGAATTCCAAGCACTTCCTAACTTTTTAGATGCCAAGGGGGAAACTATTTTCAAATCCACTTAAAATACCCTCAGGGCATCAATATATTTTTATGCTAATCACAAAGCTCGTTTTGTTTTTCGTCTTTACATTGGGAAAATAATATGTGTGTCATGTAAAATAGTTCAAGTTCGTCGAGGGGCCCCGAGTTGTGTCATCCGAAATATAAGAGATCGTTGGTTTAGAGATCATAAAATGGAAGTGGAACGGTTGAGGGTAAGTGAAATGGTCTTTGAGATAATATAATTGCCAGATTATTTGGAAGCGGTATAGACCATAGTGAAGTATTTAATTAGCTTTTTAAAGATTCAAATGTATAAATTGTATAAATTCCTAAATTTACCAACTCGTGAAGCAAAAGCTTTTAAATTTAATTATATAGCACACAAAGGGCTAGATTTTTGGGAAATTTCAGCTATCTATCGGTATGCAGAGTTTGAACCTTTGTCTTTAATAGTTTTAGTATCCGTTTTATAGCCGCGATCAAGGTTCGAAGACCTCCGAAACCGCCTTAATCAATGCAAAGCGGGCGACAGCGAAATAGAAACGGACGCTACGAGTTCCCCGATTTCGCACATATCAGATATCGTAGTCGTAATACCCCCAGGGAAACTCACCTTGGCATTTGTCAGCGGTACGTGGCAGGCGTTGAGGACGAAGACCACAACAAGGAGGCGCAGGAGCAGCGACCCCGTATGACCTCTCCGCCCGTTTCTGATTCCGGTTCCGACCGAGGTCGCGATCGCGGGCGCTTGGGATCCCGGCGATCCCATCTTCTTTCTTCCGGGGAACGGATGCTACGACGTCTCTGGTATTTTTGGTTTCTTTTGGCAGCTATTTGGGTTTGGTATAGGTACTTGTGTGTGAAGGCAGTTTCGGTTCGTATTTGAGTTTGGTTTTAAACGGCTGGCAGGTTGTTGTTACGGCTATGGCACTGCACAGAGAAAAAAGCCCCCCGAAATATGTTATTAATTTGACATTGTGCAGTGATTAAATGATTTTAAAATAAATCATTCTGATTTAGATTCTTCTGAAAGGATATTTTCTCCTGGCTTGATTTTTTTTGGTATTCTTAGGGAGGTTTTTTTCTCGGTGCGCCCAAGAAAGGGTAAACACATCGGAGAGCACAGAAACGGGACACGTTTCCCGATATCAGCAAAAAGTGTTGACTTTGGTAAAACGAAAAGCTCGAAAAAAAAACCCGAAACCTTCCAGTCTCAGAAGTTCCTCCGAAAAGGCTGGAAGATCCCCGTTAGATCTTCGTTTTCACTCCTAGCTGATGTTTGTTTTCCCCCTTCTTTTCGCGAGTGCCACTCTTTATTCCCGTTAATTCTGTTTCACACGCGCGTAACACTGTTTTATTTTCAAAAAATAACGGTTCCTTTTTCGGATCACAGTTGCAAAAAGAAGGAAAGGAGCAAAGAAAAGGTTTTACTGTTATCCTTGAACCGATATCACCAGGATAATTTCTGAAGGATTTCTTAAAATTTCGGCACTTAGTGGATGTGGGGGCACTCAAAAAAAAATCAACGCTCCAAAAAGAGAGTCAGAGTCACACATAAAGCAAAGCGACAGCGCACCGTGAATGTGCGACCGCCTGGAACGATGGCGCGCAACCTAATGTCTAAGAACCGTTGTCGCGATTCCCATCGCTGCCTCTGCTCTGCCGGCGTCGGCGTAGCCCCGAAGACGCACGAAGGCCGAAATCGAAAACAAGAGAAAATGCTACAGTCGATTGTCTCGACTATTAGATACCCGTTACTCAGCCTAATTGATTGCGAGGTGGTGGAGATATGCCTAGAGCAGCAGTGATTTTTTCACTAACACATTTATGGTGTGCACTCTCGATTGATTTGCAAAATACTGATTATTTTTTGATTTTAACTTATTAATGAATAGTCCGGTCTTAATAATTTTTGGCTTGCAGATAGATATTGATAATAAGACGGGTTTTAGTGCTATAGCCGTTTGTGGACGTTTTGAGTTGCCAAGTCCCAACACTCTATAGTTTCCGAGATATCAGCGTTCATACGGACGGACTCGGCTAGTGATCCTGATCAAGAATATATATACTCTTTGGGGTCGGAAACGCTTCCATCCACCTGTTACATACTTTCCGACGAATCGAGCATACCCTCTTACTCTACGAGTAATGGGTATAAAAACGAGACGGCAGCCGAAGCGTTTTGCGTGCTCTGGTTATTGTTATAACGGCGCTTAATGGCCGATGCAAGCCTGTTGCGTCGATTGGATGCACCGCTCTCCTCGTTTTCCTTGCCGTTCAGCGCTTTCTTTCTCGCCACTCACATGCGTGGGTGTCTTATCCTCCTTCTCCTTATCCTTTCTACTTCTTACTAGGGCGTCAGGACTTGAACAAAGGGGGGCAGCAAATTACTGTAAAATGTTATGATGGAAAAGTTAAACAGAAGTGGACAGTCACAAGGTTAATTAAAATGGTAAGACCCCCAAAAAGTTTAATCAGCACCCGCCCCTGCGGCCCTCTCTCTCTCTCTCTCTGGGTCAACCGATAAACAAGTGAAAACCGTTGCTCCTTGCTCTCTTGTCACCTTTTGTTGTTGCTGGGGCAGCCGGTTTGCAAATTATCCCTCTCACTCCCACGAAAAACAGCGCTCACTTCTCACTTTTTCCTTAATGTTCTTTTCATTCGACACTCAAAAAAATTTAGCGACTCAGAAAATGTTGAGGCAGTTTTAATTTTAATAATATTCCAATCTTAGAAGGAATTTAATCAATCAAAAAATTAGGATGGTCAACCAAAATAGGGATGCTAAACAAACGAAACGATCATGTAATGCGTGAGAGAACTCCAAATAGAAGGGAAAACACTATGAAAATTCAGTTTTTATAGCGTTTTTCTTTCTGGATCCCAGAATATTTGTGCTTTATGATTTTTTCGGAATGCAGAAACTAAACACTAACACCAACAATGGGCAAAAAGCAGGTGCAACAATCATCATCGTCAAAATTCGGTCATCGGTCTAAAATCATCTCATCTGCAAGTTCACTTTTCGTTTCATAGTTGCAGCACAATTCTAAAACGTTTATTGGTCATGATGTTATTTTGGTCGTGATTTAAATGCTTTGTTCAAAATATGATTTTAATTAGTTTTCTTTTGATCGAAGCCCATTTAATGCTACATTCTTGTGTTTATAGAAGCTAGGATGGGTTAAAACATTGAGAACAAGTAAATAGTTAAGGTTGAACTCTTAACTTTTCGATACCATATTTATTTAAATATAGACAAAAAACATATTTCCTGCCATATTTAGATATTCATCACGATGCAAGTTTACAAGGAAATCCGCCTGAAATGGGGCTTTAGAGCTTGGCGGCTTTTGCGGTTAAGTCAGTTGTCAACTGGTCATAGGTCATGGGCTACACCTGCCGCAACCCGTGACCTTCAGCCCACATCTCCCCCCACCGCCATCCCCAAAAAGACGGCTTCCCATTGGCGCCTGACCCAAATGACATCCGAAAACGACGCATGCGTGTGGATGAATTGCCGGACTTGGATGCCGACGCCCCATATGTTGGACCAATGGACACGTTGCTATTTTTCAGAACCCCCTCCCCAAAACAATTGGGTTATTCTCAAGGGCCCAGGCCCCCTTTCACCTCCTTTTCGCCCTTCCTCCCGTATAGTCTAATGTGAAATATTTAAATAGTGGCGCCCCGTAAATTGCCACAGCTTCCGTTCGCTGATAAGAGTAGGGTCCAAAAATACACACAGAAAATATGTTAATTACGCCAAATAAAATGATGGCAATGAACTGGCTACACTTGGAGAAAAGGGAGACAGCCAACAAAAATCGTCCATTTTATTTTCAATTCCTATAATTAAATCGTCTAATTAAAAGTACAGTAACAAGTTTAAAAAGTAAGAGATATGTAAACACAAAAATCGTTACACGGAAAAGTACCCAAATTGTTTTAATGAAAACTCTTAACTTTAATAATCCATATAATAATAGACATTCCCCAAACATAGGACAAATTTGGGACTTTATTACCATCTATTTTTCCGAGTACTACATTCAGTTAATATTCGGGCATGTGTGCTTTGCAAGCTTATAAATATAATTTGGTAAGTCAAAAGGTGGCGATAAGGGATCGCAATGTGTTCATTGAAATTGGAACAAATACCGAAACAATTATAATCATCAATCTGAAATTCTATATACAAATGTTCAAGGTACATATATAAGCATACATTAAAAGGTTATCCGTTATTAACGGTGTGAAAACCGCAACGACATAATTTTTCATTTCTCAAATACACCACAGTCGAGTGGTGAGTACACTACTCTGTTAGCCACTTTCAAAGACAACAGCTGTCGACAGTTTGAGAGGCATTGCAGAAAAGCTTTTAGCCAAGTCAATACAATTTGGTTTGTAAAAGCTTTTAAAATTTTTACACTTTATATATTATTTTGGATTATTATATATTATTTAAATGTAACACTATATGTATGTATGTATGTTGTCATTTAAAGGCAAGATGACCCTGAATGAAGTCCAATTAATCAAATATGAAGGGTATACAAAGCGATGAGAGATCGAAACTTAAATCTATTTATGTATAGATTAGTTGGCGACCTTAAGCCTTGCAGGTATTAAAAAATAGGTTTCAATAGGCTAAAGCAATGAAACAGATTTTATAGTTTTTCGTTTGCACTAATTACATAAGATTTAGATGAGAAATGTGAACTTAAGAACATATTTTAACTTATGTACATATAAATATTTAATACCCAATATTGTAATAGTTTGTCATTAAAAAGTTATAGCTAAATAACACTCAATATTTTGCAATTTAATCGAGATTGCTCACCATATTCAGCAAATCAGCTGTTTTCACTAATAAGCCACCAAGCCGCTAGGGGCGCTATAAGATAGTTGGCGCTATAGACTAGGTGGCGCTATACGCTAGGTAACGTTACAGGCTTGGTGGAGCTAAAATTTTCTGAGATAAGAAGTACATTTAATATAATTGTTATGATAAATACTATCATTAACAGACTTTAAACTATATTTAAAACTTTTATAAACCTCAAGAAAAATCGTGTTTATTTTCAAGGTCAAATGATGTGAAATATCTGATAAGGATAATTCACATAAGTACACCGATTCTGAAGAGCATAATAATAAACTTAAGGGTGATGTTAGCATTTATCCCATGGACAAGGATGCGAATTTTTCATCCCCATTTCCAACCCCCCTCATTTTTGCACTCACTTTTACATTTTCCGTGCACTTTTTTGGCTTTCGTTACGAGTTTTACGCTAAATATTTTCCTCCCCCTTTTTCTGGCCAAGTCACGTGTTTCGCAACGGCAACTTGTTGGCCCTTGTAAAAAGTGTGGCAAGAAGAGGGTGTGATTTACGTTCGCGCGTCATATTCTAATTGAAAACTAATTGTTGCTGTGAATAATTTAAAATCAAGTCTATTTGCATTGCACGTATCCTTGCTGCACGTATCCTTGGTAGCCGGAAAATTGCTGCAAAAATATTAATAATCAAATACGGAAAATATAAAAAAAAATTGAACAGCTAATGAACTGTAAAACGGTTATTAAAATGCACATGATTTTAACAAATCCAATTATAGCTAGATTACAATGAAAATCTTTGCAACAAGCGAAAAATTATTCAAACGAATAAAATGAAAGAGTTATTTATTAAAATTAAAAGCTTAAATTTATACCTAATATTACTGTATTTTAAAGAAGAAGCAACCCCCAAAAATAACTCATACGACAAGTATGCTGGGCAACAATTTAATTTCATCAACTGCTTGCAATAAATCACAAACTAAAAGTAATAATCATTTCAAACGTCACGCAGCTATTAAAATATTTTAGTATTAAAAAAAATGGAAAATTGGGTTGGATGACATTTTATCTATAAAATTAAATGAGTTAGTTTATATATATTTACTTATAGCCTTACAAAGGCCGCTTAAATTTCCGATGAATAAAATATACAGAGCTTTGGGTATGAGTAATAGCAATGAGACAGTAATTTTTTTCTTATTTATTTTGTGTTTCTAAGAGAATAATTCACCTGCAACTGACATACAGGCCAAGTTCTAGGGCAAATGTAGCGCTATCTTTTCCAATCAACCAGGTTCCTGTTCTCCAAATTGACAGACGAAGATGTACTTAAACCAATTTCAAGGAAAGTCGGTTACGTGGAAACCCCAAGAACAGTTTTTCCCCTGAAAAAAACCCAACAAGTGGCGGTTAACAAGTTGAAAAACTGCAGTTTGCATAAGGAGAAGCTCCAACCTTCGGTGTACAAATGGGGGGAAAAGATGTTGACATTTTCACCCCCATCTCTACCAAAAAATTTCACCTGCCCCCGATTGTTGTGCAATTGTCGGGGAAACTGTTTGTGTGCTGTGCTGTTAGGGAAAAGGACTCGTTTTCTTGTGTTGCTAAAGCGTTTGCTAATTGTTTAGCTGGCTTTCTTTCATTTATATTTTCACTTTCTTTTTTTTTTTTTTGGGCAAGACCTTTGGCCAGGGCTTTTAGCTTAATTAAGGCCAGTGTGCCGGCTTTTGTGTCTCCGCTGCCCGCTCATCAATACGCATCTGAGGGCATTT